GGAGCAGGAATTGGCTTGTCATCAGTGACATGACGTTATTTTTACCTTCTCCCTTACGAATTTCTTTGCCTTATGAGAGTGTGCACAATATCCTATCTTATAAAATATTAACACCTTCTTCAAATTATGATACTTTTTCAAAAAAACAGGTGGATTAACGGTGCATGCAAGCAGCAGAGCAGCAAATGACCCGCAGAGCATCCTCACCCGGTCAATGAAACACTGCAGGAACCACTTGGTCGTGTAAATCCCCGTAGTCATCTGCTCCTTGTCCTAGGAGGAGACAGCAAAGAGAGAGAATCATTTTACCAGGCTGCCGGGGAGCCTGGCTGGTTGGTTTAGCATTAGGAGTCTGGGTGCAGGATCTGGCTGCGGTTTGTCTCCCAACAAAGCCCCTCCTTTAAATGCCAATGCTGAAGCCCTGCTTTGGCCCTTTACCCAAGGTATTTATTGAACCTGATCCTCCACATAGCCAGAGTTCAGCCACAACTTCAGAGAGTGATTTCTAGAAGCTTTTCTGGCCTAATAGCTACCCCAGGGAGTTACAAAAACCTTCCAGGAACCCAAACCACGAATTCCTTGCAAACTACCATTTTTGTTTCCATTTCGATTCCCATTTGAGCCTCTTGGAGCACCACAGAAATGATTAACCCCAAGTATCCCACAGGTAAGTCCAGACCTGCATGGTCAAGCCAGCTTTGTTAGCACCACCTCATTTGCTGCTGCAGGAGCAGGACAGCCTGACAGGCTAAGGAAAACTCCTAAACACCCCACCAGCATCACCCCGGTCTACCACTTTGCCAGCCCTGCCTGGCACCCGCCGCAGCGCTCACACGCAGCTTTGCCTTTTCTGGCACGGCCGGTGCTGGCATGCACCGCGCCCTGCACGTGCACCGCGTTGCCGTCACCGCTGCTGCAAAGCCACAAAGCAGCGGGGATGGGAAGGGAAGGAAGCCCATGGGACTAACGGCCAGCTCTGTTCTTTGCTTTCGCCTGCTGCTGGGCAAGCCTGGGGAGCCTTCGGGAGCCAGGAGGCACGGGCAGCTTTCCACAGTTATTCCCATCCTCCCCACCCAGGCTTTCCCATCCCCCATGGCTATAATTAAGTGAGAACCTGTCCTGGCTCTGTTTCACTTTTATGGCCAGGGCTGGCTCATCTACAGCACGAAGCAAGAGCTGTTGCAGATGATGAAAACAGAAGCAGCTTTTCCTGGAGCCGGGCCACCAAGCCCCTTGGGAGCATAAGAAACCTTCAGGAGTCTGGCCACTGAATACCAACTGTCTACAGCAAATGCAGGCAGGGGACAAAAGGGAAAATAAAAGGGAGCAGGTGTTGCAAAATAGTCGCCTAGACTGCAGTCGATGTGTCCTGCAGATGCTCCTCCAGCCACCAAACGGGCTCGTGCCATCTGCTAGAGAGAAAAACAACTGGATGTGCCCACGCGACAAAACACACAGCAAGTCTTCTGCGCCTCCCGTCTTTAAACAACAACAAAGTTGTTAAATGCAAGCGCTTGGGGCCAATAATTATTGAATTTCGACTCCAGACAGTCCAGTGTCACCCTTTGGGCTTTGCAGCTGGTGCAGGAACACAGCCCAGCCTGGATGCTGTACGCAACAGCTCCTTTTCTGTGAGCCATCCTGCCTGGCTTTCCTAAGGAAGCCTTTAGATTTTAGCAGTGCCTAAATGACCAACTGATAAGTGCTAAACTGCTAATGAAGGCCTACAAGCAAATGACAACCATTTGGCTCAGTAAGATTCAGGCACCCCATTTAATAAACGCTCACCTCTCTGTGGCTGAAGCAGTCCTACATGGTTAGAAATATGTTCAGTTGGGCATCTATTTGGCAGAACATTACACTAATTGCTTTAGCATTAAAATGTGATATTAGTATGGGGAGACTGATAGCAAAGAGATACCATGTGCTTCTTCAGTTTGGGAAACAGTTTGCTTAAAATCTGCTCATGATGAGCTTGAAATCTCTGCAGCTTCGGGAACCCAGGAATGAAAAAACCTTAACGAGAAAAGATGAGAGAAACAAAAATTAATCAGAAAAGCTCTGGGGGCAGCCAGATTTTCTAGAAACTCATCCCCTGAATTGCCTTTTGAAGTTGGCTGGACCACAGCGTGCCCAGCTGCCTCCCCTGGCATCCCTCCCAGCGCCCACCCTTCACCCCACCTACGTGAGTGACAGCACCCTTGGCACCAGCCCCGGCAGGTCGTTCTCCGCCAGCCCCTCAGAGCGGACCCGCTCACCTCCCCACCGCCTGCCTGCCTGAGACTGCGCTTGGCCAAAACCTCCCTGAACACATCTCGGTGCTTACCGAGGTTCACAGAAGAGCTGGAGATGTTTGAACACCACAAGCTTGCGCAGCGCCCCGTCACCTAGCAGGGCACGCGTTTAACACTGCCTGGAGTTATCAAGCCATAAGGCTTAGCCCTCCGCTCTGTGCACACATTACTGCTCACCACGAGTAAGATGAAAGGATCTTTAATGCGTTTGAAGTGAAATAATACAGTGCATTTGGTGGAATTACATCTTCATGAAAACACAAGGGCACGCAGCTCATGGCATGCTAAAAACAGAGCATTACATGATGCTCCTGGATGTACTTCTGTGAGACTTCCTAAAAACTCGTAACCTTGAGTTAATTGATTGCCAAGGGCACGGCACTCCGGAGGGAAGATGGCACCTCTGTGAAAGTGTTAATTACCGAACGCTACAGCTCAGTGCTGATAAACCACATTTTCCTCTGATGAACTTGTCCACCTCCAAGAGTAAAGTTCAGCTCCGCAGTCAGGTTGCATCTGCATGTAATTAAGCCTTACCCGCGTTAAACAAGCACGTGAGGAGAAACGAGGCTCTACCGACCAACCCAAAGAGCCTTCCCTCCCGTCGCGAGAGCCCCTGCCCCAGCCTTACCGTGCATGGCATGCCGCTGGTTGGTCAGCAGCTGGGCCAGTGCCCAAAAGGCATCCTCTTCATTTAAGTACATCAGGAGGATGGCTGCGATCTGGCTCATCCCTTGGCAGTAGCTCACTTCCTGCAAGAGGGCCACACGTGCTTGTAATAAAGAATGGCTAACTAGTCTTTAGAAAACTAGCTTTTAGAAAAGAACTGCCGACCAGCCTTTAGAGATAGGGAGGGAGGCCGATTTGTACTAACCCTTATGCATATCTCCATTGCTGACTAACTAACACTTTAAAGATAAGAATGAAGCGGAATCCACCAAGCGAAGGACACCAGGTGGAATCCTCCAATCAGACTGTGGGCTCAAGGAACACAGAAGACTAAGCAGGAAAGACAGGGAGGGCAGCAAGCAAGAGGTGGTTCTGTGAATTGGAAAAGCCCCAGGATG